CAGTATGGCTGTCTGTGTATGTCAAAATGTCTGGATGTGTGTTTGTCAGTGTCTGTGTGGTTCAGTATGTCTGTATGTGTGTATGTCTGTCAGTGTGTCAGTATGTCTGTGTGTGAGTCTATCAGTGTCTGTGGTTCAGTGTGTACGTGTGTTTCAGTATGGCTGTCTGTGTATGTCAAAATGTCTGGATGTGTGTTTGTCTGTCAGTGTCTGTGGGTATGTGTGTTTCAGCATGTCTGTCTGTCTGTATGTGTGGTTCAGCATGTCTGTCTGTGTGCCAGAATGTCTGTCTGTCTGTGTGCCAGAATGTCTGTCTGTGTGCCAGAATGTCTGTCTGTGTGCCAGTATGTCTGTCAGTGTGCCAGTATGTCTGTCAGTATGTCTGTGTGTGAGCCTGTCAGTGTCTGTGGTTCAGTATGTATGTGTGTTTCAGTATGGCTGTCTGTGTATGTCAAAATGTCTGGATGTGTGTTTGTCAGTGTCTGTGTGGTTCAGTATGTGTGTATGTCTGTCAGTGTGTCAGTATGTCTGTGTGTGAGTCTATCAGTGTCTGTGGTTCAGTGTGTATGTGTGTTTCAGTATGGCTGTCTGTGTATGTCAAAATGTCTGGATGTGTGTTTGTCTGTCAGTGTCTGTGTGTATGTGTGTTTCAGCATATCTGTCTGTCTGTATGTGTGTATGTGTGTTTCAGCATGTCTGTCTGTATGTGTGTATGTGTGTTTCAGCATGTCTGTCTGTCTGTGTGCCAGAATGTCTCTCTGTGTGCCAGTATGTCTGTCAGTGTGTCAGTATGTCTGTGTGAGTCTGTCAGTGTCTGTGTGTTTCAGTATGGCTGTCTGTGAGTTTCAAAATGTCTGTATGTGTGTATATCTGTCAGTGTCTGTATGTGTGTATGTCTGTCAGTGTGTCAGTATGTCTGTGTGTGAGTCTGTCAGTGTCTGTGGTTCAGTGTGTATGTGTGTTTCAGTATGGCTGTCTGTGTATGTCAAAATGTCTGGATGTGTGTTTGTCTGTCAGTGTCTGTGGGTATGTGTGTTTCAGCATGTCTGTCTGTCTGTCTGTATGTGTGTTTCAGCATGTCTGTCTGTCTGTCTGTGTGCCAGAATGTCTGTCTGTCTGTGTGCCAGAATGTCTGTCTGTGTGCCAGAATGTCTGTCTGTGTGCCAGTATGTCTGTCAGTGTGCCAGTATGTCTGTCAGTATGTCTGTGTGTGAGCCTGTCAGTGTCTGTGGTTCAGTATGTATGTGTGTTTCAGTATGGCTGTCTGTGTATGTCAAAATGTCTGGATGTGTGTTTGTCAGTGTCTGTGTGGTTCAGTATGTCTGTATGTGTGTATGTATGTGTCAGTGTGTCAGTATGTCTGTGTGTGAGTCTATCAGTGTCTGTGGTTCAGTGTGTATGTGTGTTTCAGTATGGCTGTCTGTGTATGTCAAAATGTCTGGATGTGTGTTTGTCTGCCAGTGTCTGTGTGTATGTGTGTTTCAGCATGTCTGTCTGTCTGTATGTGTGTTTCAGCATGTCTGTCTGTATGTGTGTATGTGTGTTTCAGCATGTCTGTCTGTATGTGTGTATGTGTGTTTCAGCATGTCTGTCTGTCTGCCAGAATGTCTGTCTGTGTGCCAGTATGTCTGTCAGTGTGTCAGTATGTCTGTGTGAGTCTGTCAGTGTCTGTGTGTTTCAGTATGGCTGTCTGTGAGTTTCAAAATGTCTGTATGTGTGTATATCTGTCAGTGTCTGTGTGTTTCAGTCTGTCTGTGTGTGTGTGCCAGAATGTGTGTATGTCTGTCAGTATGTCTGTGTGTGAGTCTGTCAGTGTGGTTCTGTATGTCTGTGTTTGTCAATATGTCTGTCAATGTCTGTGTGTATGTGTGTTTCAGTATGTCCGTCTGTCTGTGTGTATATGTGCCAGTACGTCTGTCAGTGTATCTGTATGTCTGTGTGTGTGAGAGTCCATCAGTGTCTGTGTGGTTCAGTATGTGTTTGTGTATGTGTGTTTCAGTATGGTTTTCTGTGTGTGAGTCTGTGTCAGTACGTCTGTCAGAATGTGTCTCTGTATCTGTATGTTGTCCATTTGTATTTGTGTGTGTATCTGTATGTGTCAGTGTTTGTATCTGTATATCTGCATGTGTGTCAGGTTGTGTATCTGTGTGTCTGTCTGTCAGTGTGTGTGTCGGTGTATCTATAAGTAGTCAGTGTGTGTACCTTTGTATCTGCATGTATGTCAGTGTTTGTATCTGTGTGTGTGTCAGTGTATCTATATGTAGTCTGTGTGTATCTGTATGTTCTTGTGTGTTTCTATATGTGGTCAGTGTGTATCTGCATGTGTGTCAGGTAGTGTATTTGTGTGTATCTAGACGTAGTCAGGGGGCCCAAGTAAATGCTCGCCCAGGGTCCAATCTAAATTAAAGACGGCCCTGCGTGGCGGTGGCCATCTTTGTTCATTTGAACGCGGTCAGCGGTGTGTGTAGCCAAATCCATGGAACTGAAATCGGCTACACATTTCAACTAACACCGCTGACCCTTACCTTCTCCTCCACTCAGTTTTCAGCTACAGAGACTAAGTCCTGTTCGGCAGTTTGAACTCTGCTATACTGAGCCAATTGCACGAACGGCCTCATTTGTGCATTCGAATAGGACTTAGTCATTTTTCTGAGTGAAATTGAGCTACCGCACAACCCAAATCAATGGAGCTGTTTTGGGCAGGAAAATGTGATTGCGGTCGGTCATAAAGGACTTCCGTCTAACTTTTTATCTACTGGAGGGATTTGTATGATTTTTGAAAGTGTATATGTTTAGTGTGCTGAGTTCGAATATGTAATTTATATGAAGATTGAATGTACATTTTTAAAGTTACAGTACATGTGTAAAAACTGTATTTTTCCTGCCTGTGATAATTATGTTAACCCATTGTGTACCATAATTATATCACAGGCACAGGGGAGGATTTTGTGTGTAATTGCTGGGAGTGTTTTACTGTAATGTACATGTGTTATTGGTTGTTCTACAAAACCCTGTGGGCGGTCCTGTATGTGTAAGACCTCCATAAAAGAAAGCCCTTTGGCACCAATTAAAGAGAACTACTTGACCCTCTAACTCGCAGCCTCGACTCCTGATCCTGCTTCGCTCTACAGGAGGAAGAGGTTCACCTACTGGAACCTGGTCATAGGTTCAGAGTGGATAGCAGACGGCGAGATACCAGCCCAGCAGCGGTGATTCGTGGATAGAGTTGAGCTGACACCTAGATGTTCGGGTCCTGCGGTTCCGGCCGAACTTCGAAAAAAAGTCCAGGTTCGAACTTGACCCCGAACCCCATTGAAGTCAATGGGGACCTGAACCTTTGGCCACAAAAATGCCTCTAAAAAACTCCTGGAAAGGGCTAGAGGGCTGGAAAAGTAAAAAAGTAAAATGGGAGTAGGAAAAGTGCCCTGCAAACAAATGTGGATAGGGAAATAACTTAAAAATAACATAAAATAAGCAGCCGCTTAGTAGATAACTCCCTAATTCACACGGTATTAGGGAGCTATCTACCAAAAGGCTGAAAGACCTAAATTGGTCACCTAACTTGGGGTGGGCCGTAGGTGCCGGGGAGGACACAATAGGTATTTAGGGCCCCCACCTGCCGTTCAGGCCACTCACTGTTTAATAGACATGCCCCTACTCATGGTATAGTGAGTAGGGGCATAATTTACTAATACTAAGTGACCAGCTTCTATAGAGGCTGGGTCACATGCTGCACTGGCCAATCACAGCCATGCCATTAGTAGGCATGGCTGTGATGGATTCTAAGGGCACATTAGTCAAACGCTTGTTGATTGCCTGCCCTGTGGCCTTTCAAAACGCGTCATTAAATCGCCAAACTCCAAACCGAACATACAGTGATATGTCCGTGTTCGGGGTCCAAAAACGTAATGTTCGGTACGAACCCGAACTTTTCAGTTCGGGTTCGCTCAACTCTATTTGTGGAGTCTGCAGTGTTTATGTTGTCTGCAGTCTGATGGTCCTTTGGTGAGCGCTAGGAGCATCCTTTCTATGGTCCAACTTTCAGCTAGCCTGGAGGCAACCGTAACAGTCTCTATGGTGGTACTTGGGTATCTATGGCAGTGGTCTTGGTATGGTCTTTATGGTAGTAGTCAGGGTAGGGATTCTATAATGGGTTTTGATTTTAGGGCCTATATGGCATTAGTTGGGCTAAGACCATGGTCTCTATGGTGGTAATTGGGGTTGGGTCTCTATGGTGGTAATTGGGGTGGGGTATCTATGGTGGTAATTGGGGTAGAGTATCTATGGTGGTAATTGGGGTGGGGTCTCTATGGTGGTAATTGGGGTGGGGTCTCTGTGATGGCAATTGGGGTGGGGTCTCTATGGTGGCAATTGGGGTGGGGTC